GTGAATGATTTGCCAGGATAGCTTGTATCACATGCAGAACTTCATGCTGATGATTTGAAACTAATTACAGACCCTAGCAATATCCATGCTATCTTGCAAGATTTAAAAGCATTGGAATCCTGGCAGGAAGATTGGAAACTTTCATTCAATCTGCAAAAGTGTAAGATTCTGCATCTAGGGAAATCAAACACTGGGAAAGACTATCCCTTCTTGGATGGAGTTTTAATCGGCGAGAACAGTGAATTTTTCCACCCACATAAATACAATTGTTGCACATGCAAAAGGAAAAATAGCTTTACGCAATATAATAAGTCAAGTTTAAAGTAGGGATGAAGATGTGATGTTGCGTGTGTACAAGACTTTAGTGAGGCCAAACCTTGAATAATGTACACAATTATGGACGACATTACCAAAGTACGGGAACTGGGGCGATATAATGAATCTAGAAGCAGTTCAGAGAAAATTTACAGCATGAATAAGCTGCTGCAAAAGACAGAGTTATGAGAGCCGCTTGACGGTTTTGGGACTGACAACATTATTAGAAGGAAGAATGAGAGGTGACTTAATAGAAGCATTCAAAATACTAAATGGTTTTGTACATATGGGCAAAAAAGTCTCCTAGAACTGGTAACCTTGACATAAGGCAAAATCAGCGTTTAAAGTTGAACTTTTTTGGGAACAGGGTCGTAAAATACTGGAACAGATTACCATTAAATGTGAGGCTAAGTGCATCTGTGAATATTTTAAACACAATTTGGATGAATACGGAGATTCCCATGTGTCCAACCCAAGAACACTTGGACAATACTGGGAATTGTCAAATATGATTTTGGAGAGAATTAGATAGTCTGGTTTTCGACATTTGTGTATTAAATAGGTTAGCAATACTATTGGGTAATTGTTTAATGTCCTTTTACTAGTCATAATTTGTCTAGTCTTAATTGTAGTAGTTGCCAACTTTTGTGATACAGGTGTTTATACCGTGGTATATTTATATTGTCGATTTTGTAGCTGTTATAGGTGTGATACACAAAGAGGTATTATTTATATGCCCGCGTCCAAGAGTTTGGATCACATTGGTCTATTAATGGATAGTGCGCACTGAAGTCTCGCAAACTTGCCCGTTGGCATACATGCCTATGCATAGCTTATTTTCTGAAATGTTCGCGGCACACCTGAAAATCTCTCGTGGCAGACAGCAAACGCTGCTCTGGTCAGAGCGGGCAAAGTGTCTGCAGGATAGGATATGATTTACATATTTATCCCGGGGGAGAGGAAAGCCGATAAGACGGCTTATCCATATGGCGAACCACGGCCTCTCGTCCGGTTACCATTCCGAGTCGGGTATGGGATTAGTTATATTGTTTTTGTTTTCGGAAGCATGGACTTGGTGGTGGAGGAAGCCGTAACCGACCAGCGGTTACGTGAACCACCCAACGACGTCGAGGAGTCCAGCAATCCTCTCGCACATAATCATCCCTGCATGAGATTCGAACCTGCGAACCCACGCAGAGTAATTAGAGGTGCGGTGGCGAGCGTATTTCTAACGCTTAGCCCGTTGAGCCACACCGCCGCGCCGGGATGCAACGGATGCAAAATTACAATTGTTACGTCATCGTTGACTTTTTGCTGATTGTTGCGATTTAAACAGGAAAATCGATGCTCGGGAAACATCCATTGAGCACAAGCTTATTCAACAACTTTTGAAAGATCTCCTCGACGGTCGATTATCACGCGAGAAAATTTTGTGGCACAGCCTACTGTATTTGATTCTACATAATATAATCTTTTAAGATTTTTGACGTCTACTGCATTAGAATAAATAAATTTTGGAAGTGTTTCTCATAGTTTGTATAGAAAACAGTTGAGACCAATCATGCTATATTGCAGGGATGGCGAACCTTTTTCAATGAATGGGTCAAAAATTATAATTTTATCGCGGAACAGAAGAGAGTGGGTCACAGATATTTAATTCACGTTTATATCTTTTAGAAACTTCTGAAACGAATCTTATTAGCTGGTGTTGGTGTAGTTTTGGGCTTTACTTATGCAGCACTTCTATCAGGGACTTTTCATGGCACTCGGTTTTATGATATTAGAGTACGAAAACACACTTAAATTATTCTACGGTTCTAGTGTTTGGAGGTAATTCCGCTTTGATAGTGTTATAATTTTCGATCAGCTTCCAATCACATTAAGCCACTTTTACACTGCCCCATTGTTATATCAGATTTCTAGATTTTTATTTCAAGTCTGAAAGTTTTTGTTTTCACAACGGCATTGTAGACGAGAAACTATTAAAATGCAAAGTAGTATAGGGCAACAAACAAAGATTCGACCCTATCTGCGTGTCCACACTCCCGTGTTATTGAACACACGTTAACAGAGTGTAACTCCGATCTTGACTTCTTCAGAGGTCAAAAAGCACACAATGTATTGAATGCCAATTGTTATATTGTAAAGTTGCACAATCGAATTGATCCAAATAACGAATTACACTTGAAACCTAAAGCAAGTATATGTGATGGAACCAAATTTCTAACTAACAAAGAACGGCAAAAACAAGCTACACTGAGTGAGAGAAATATATCATAAAGGAAATGAATTGGGACAACGACCTTGTTTCAGGCAAATAACATGCACTACTAACAATAAGTGGTGAAAATATTAAAATACACAGTAACTATCCTTATGTACTTGCTACACAATTCCCCCCGACAATAAAAAATTAGTTTGCTAATTTTTAAATTTTGTAAGACTAGCTAATAACGATTTCTGATTGAATAATATGTCGTAAAATTTGCCATGTATTGGTGTATTTAATTCTGCATCAAAGTCGCTGATGACCAACTAATGCAACGACACAGGAAAACCAATTTGATTGAGATACCTCCGGTTGAAGGATCTTTTGCGGTGAAATCTACAGATTTTCACGAAATCTTCGATAACACCCAGAACTAAGCCATTGCGTTTGGACAATCGACTTCTTTCTGCTTTGTAAAATAATGAACGTAACAGTTGATTTGAAGAATAATGTTGACGTTAAGATTTCGTTCGTTGAAAACATTCCTCTAAGATTTGAAAACTTGTCCAACTCTCGGATTTTTCAATCTGGGAAGATTGTCCGATGAATTGTAATGTAGCAAGAGTTCGGTAGCGCTGAATTTCGGAAAGTCGCGGGCCCTGCGAACTTTCGTATCTCCAACATTCCAAACAATTGTGAAAGCGCCTTTGCGACGGAAACTCGTGTTCGGTTCACATTGACTTAGATGAGCTGGAGGTGAATGCAGTTTTCGTGTTATGTGATTGAAGTAGAGAGGACCCTTCCAAGCGGGCCACGAGTATTTGGGTTCGACTTGGTTTCTGAAGATGCTGCAATAGATGATGATCGACTTGAGAGAAATAAAGTAGATGTTTGTAAACTTCCGCCAAACAATAGGTCGTATAAATACTGCTGCTTGGAGTAAGAAATCGGCTTGGGTATATATATCATCATGTTATTTTTTCTGCGTAACTTGCTTTGTCGATAAACACATTTGAAAATCCAGTAATAATATGAAGTTGAGTTAGTGCTGTCTGATCGTAGGAGGTCCTGGTCCAGATTCCTCGTTTTGAGTCAAAAATCTACCTTGTTCTGGCCTTCTTGACTGCTTAATCAATTGACATACCGCCAAAGACTGCAGTTTGGTTGGTTGCTTGATTCCTGAAATGCTGACGTATTGTCCACTGACTCGGTTAGTGATGAATTTCTTTTCCATTTTGATTGACGAAATTCCAGTTGCTGAATTGAAGTTGATTGCTTATTGATCACGTCGGGGTCACCAAAATATAGGGCAACAAAGATTCGACCCTATCTGCGTGTCCACACTCCCGTGTTATTGAACACACGTTAACAGAGTGTAACTCCGATCTTGACTTCTTCAGAGGTCAAAAAGCACACAATGTATTGAATGCCAATTGTTATATTGTAAAGTTGCACAATCGAATTGATCCAAATAACGAATTACACTTGAAACCTAAAGCAAGTATATGTGATGGAACCAAATTTCTAACTAACAAAGAACGGCAAAAACAAGCTACACTGAGTGAGAGAAATATATCATAAAGGAAATGAATTGGGACAACGACCTTGTTTCAGGCAAATAACATGCACTACTAACAATAAGTGGTGAAAATATTAAAATACACAGTAACTATCCTTATGTACTTGCTACAGTAGCATCTAGTTCTCGTATAACCCCTAAAACAGTCTGCAGATGCAATTCCAAAAAAGACAGGCGTTGCGAGAAATGAACAGATCAATTGCATTGTTATGTCATAAACGATGTCAGGTCCAATAGCTGAATAACGGTACACAGCGGTGCATACATGGTACAAGATTGGGGGGTTTTGAAAATTACCATACCGGCCCCGAAAATCAACATTTTGAACATGAGTGATCGCAGACCTTCCTGACTGTCCAACTGACGGTACATTATAATAGTTCAGTTATTGTTAGATTAATTTACGGCCGGTTTTATCAATTTTTATCACTGATATGTAAGCATTTTTTTTATTTTATTCGTGCCTTCGCTTGGCGGGTCACAAATAAAACGCGGTGGGTCACTTCGTGACCCGCGGGTCAGTGGTTCGCCATCCCTGCTATATTGGATTCTCCCTTTTAAGTTCTAATTAGCTCTCTGTGATTTTAAATTGATGTGGTAAGCATGCATTTTGCGTTTGGGTAAGATAATATCCAGAGGCAGAAAAAGGAGTCCAGTAATCCTCTTGCAAATTGCCACATCACTCATGAAATTCGAACCAGGGCCTATTATACCATTAGGCTAAAGTAGGGGCCTCAAACCTCGACAATCAATTTTGTACTATTATTCATTTCGAATAGTTTTTAAATTGTAAAGGCTTGTTCCACAATAATGTCAGTTTAATACTTCCTAGATATTTTTTATTCAGGTTTATTCTAAATATTCACGTCGTGTTGAAAAGTAGTATACATTGGAAGCTCGTAGGAATGCTTGTAATCATATTTACATAACATTTTGCATGTAATTTGGTACTATTATCATGCGACAGTACTCGAAATAAACTTAAAACTAAAAAAAAATTAAACGCTATTCAAATAAATTGGAGTTTCCTGCTACCAAACACAAATCTGGGTCATTTATTTGAAACAAAAAAATTCGACAATATTTTATATATCTTTCCGACTTGTGAAGGTCTTGCATACTGACCAACACGATTCAATGTTTAAATATTCACGGCACTGCATTTCTATAAAAATCTGTACTATTGTTCTTATTAAAACATTGTTTTGTGGAAACAAAATCTCTCTTTCTGTACTCAGCGCTACTGGAGATTTTTGAAGGATAGGATTTACATATTCATCATGGGGAGAGAAAAACCGATAAGACGGCTTAACCATATGACGAACCACGGACTTCGGTTACCATTCCATGTCGGGTATGGGATTAGTTAGTTATGTTTTCGGAAGCATAGAATTGGTGGAGGAAGCCGTAACCGACCAGCGGTTATGTGAACCACCCAACGGCAACGAGGTGTCCAGCAACCCTCTCGCACACAACAAGTAATACTGGTATCTGGTTTAATTTAGTCCGATAATTGACAAAGGAATTTGGGAACGCAATATTTTGCTTTAACATTGCAAACATGCAACATTGTTCATTTTTTATGCATGTCACCGTGGACTAAAACGCGTATTTGCATGTTTGCAAATTTTATACACTCGAGATAAGTAACAAAGATGTTTCGCGACGGATCAAATCCTAAAAAGTATGATTACTCGTCAACGTTGATGAAAGTGGCATACAAGCAATTGTTAGGTTTGGCTAAAAACGCCCTCCATCCATGCTGGGATTAAAAACGTGAGAGGTTTTATCGCCCCGTCCTCAAAACTCTACCCTATTTGACAATGATTGAAAATATCACAATGACTTAGCAAACTTCAAGAATACTCAGAATCAACTTATGAGATAACCAGGGAATGAGGTATTAACTATTAATGGAAGAAGCATTTTATAATCAATACAAATAATGGCGTTTTTTATTCATATGATCAAATTTGATAACATATCGTCTTCCTTGTGGTAAAATTATGTCCCAATAACTTCAGATTCAGCCAGTTTTCTTAATCTTTTCTTCTCTTGCAAATATTGTTTCAATCTGTCATAATGACCCTTAGACTTGCAGTGAACTACTTTTGCACTTTTACTAGAGCTGTAAAACTTGTTGCAGAGTTGACAAAAAAATCCCTGAATAAAACAGTATTGTATAATGACCTAGCACATGAAGAAAACACACATGTAGCTTATTTTCATCCCGGCTGGAAATATGTGAATAATAATACCTGCATTTGTGTTATAACTCCTTGTCCGACTGGCGTGTCTTTCCTGAACGCTGGTACCTCATATGTGGAGAAGTCTTCTGGCAGCGGGGGAACCTTCAATAAACGCATCGATATAAGTGTCTAGTAGCTTACACGATGGATCAAAAATAGCAGACAAATTGAAATTAATATTAAACTGAAAATCCGGAGCAAGGTTTATCTGAAATATTTTTTCCATATAAATGAGCATGTTTATTCAAAAGCAATATTGAGATCTGAATATACTCTCAAAGGTAATTATTGTTACGAATTTCAATAATTAATATAGGTTAAACTCTGTGTGAAATAATATGTACCGGAATATACTCTTTCTGAGGCTCTGGCATCACACCTTCAGCAACAGTGCCCAACAGCTTCTTGTGTTTGTCTGTTAGTGAAAGAAAATTATTGTCAGAGAAATTTTGAGATTAAGATTTTGAGAACAATTTTGTATAAAACTAACTACCTTCGACTTCTTTTTTAGGCATTGGTTCCGGCATCTGATTTGGATCAATCACAGCGTTGTTAGGTACGTCTACCATCATTGGCACAAATTGACCAGGGCCCATCACAGGCAGAATTGGGCCTGGATGAATGCCAGGAGGCCCAAATATAGCATGTGGTGGAGCTGGATGGTGAGGCATTGATCTAGGATCCACACCCATAGGAAATGGTCCATGTTCCATTGAAGGCATAGACAAGGAACCAATCCCAGGTGGGCCCTGTTTCATTCCTAGAGGAACCATGTCAACATGCATTGTCATTGGATTTTGGCCACCTGGTCGAAATCGTGGAGGTGGAGCATGGCGGGGAGGTAATGGACGTGGTGGTCCAGGAAGCATCTCTAGTTTGATAACATTTTTTCTTAAAAGTAATAAATGCTTCTTCATTGCTTGCATGGCATCACCAGGATTATAAAACTCGATGTCATAAATGTCATAACCAATATTCTGTAAAACAAACATGATTTTAGAGTACAGAAACTTGAACAAAACAATATTTAAGAAGGTAGTGATTGTAAATTGAACAGTACTTGTGCAATCTTTGCAGGTGGTATTGGTTCAAAGAAACTTTTGACATCCGCAGTTGTAGCTTTATCTGGTACATCATACATGCGTACATGTACAGTGGGTCGAAATGGAGGTAAATTATGCCTTGGTGATTGTGCCCCAACATGATGATCACGCTCTCTACTGTACCTTGTTGGTTGCCTGATACATGTAATACTCGTTAGAAAAGTTGAAATAAAAATAACACACACGACCTCTTTCTTCACTTACGGTAATTGAGGCATATTTCTCCCTTTTTCTTTAACATCAGGCTGTACTTTTCTCTGAAAATGACAATATTACCAAATTTCATGCAAAAATTCATGGACTGATATTCAAGAAGGTACTTGATACTAGAGGTAAGATCGGGCCCAAAATTCCGGCCCGACCCAGGCCCGTGGGTAATAAACCTAACCCGACTAATAAACTGGGTTTGCAGGCCTGAGTCCCAAACAAAGCCGAAATTTCATATTTTATTTAGGAGTTTTTTGAATTGTCATTGCAAGAGTTTAGTACAGTATGTGTCGTGCTGATGAGGCAACTTCTGTTTTTTTGCAGACCACGGTTTCTCGTGGCCAAAACACGGCCGAAACGCCTTTAAAAAAAAAAGTGAGCGATAGAGAAGCCCGACCCGACCCGAACGTAATGATTGACATTTCCGGCCCGGGCTTCAGATCCTAGCTCTACTTGATACGAATCCAGTGACTGTAACTAATTTCCATAAATTCATATTTACCTTCAAACAGTTTTTTCATATATCTATATATACAATTAACAAATATATTATACCTTTTTTGCCGGTACCTGCTTTGTAATCTCACCAACCTCATCTACAACAACAAATGAGTTGTCATTCTTATCTTGTACAACTTCAGATGTTGCTTCTGGAAAACAAAAAAAGGGCAAGTACTTTATTACATAGAAAGAAAAAGGCAAATGTAATAGCACCTTTTAAAAATGAATCTTTATTTTAACAAAAATATTACTTGTGGTTAGGCCATGCGATGCTGTGATAAAAGTAAACGATCCAGAGGTGGTTAACTGGTTGTGCATAAAAAGACAAAAATTCACTCCTATTCAGTTGAGGGATGCAACTCGACATGCATGAACAATGCCATGAGCTGAATGTTGGATAGGATTAATACATACTTATTCTGGGGAAGAGGAAAGCCGATAAGACAGCTTATTCATATGCCGAACCACGACCTCTTGCCCGGTTACCAGTTCATGTCAGGTATGGGCTTAGTTAGCTAGTTATTTTTTTCGGAAGCATGGACTTGATGGTGGAGTAAGCCGTAACCAACCAGCAGTTACGTGAACCACCCCGCAGTGGCGAGAAGTCCAGCCAACCTCTCGCACATATTATTCCCACATGAGATTCGAACCTGTGAACCCACCCAGGGTAATCGAAGGTGCGGGGGCGAGCGTATTCCTAATGCTTAGCATGATGCGCCAAACCGTTGAGCCGTATGTGACCTTTATCAATTCATCATCTCATATTTCCGTGCCAACAAATCAGTCAAGACAGCAATATGCACATCCAACCCTACAGGTGCACTTACTTTCTGGACTGAGCTGTAAATCATCAGAATTATCATATTCCTTTTCATCGAACGAATCATTCAGAATATGATATTCTTCAACTTTCAAACTGCATTGTTCCAAGAATCGTTTCATTTCCACCGGGTGTACTTGAGCGACTTCAATTTTTCTGTTTGGAATTACAAAAAATTATTAATGAAAAATATTTACCTTTTTTCAAAATCTATCCAGATTACAACCTTTGCAGTGTTCACAACAAAAAATAGGAACAATTGGAGAAAAAATTTAAGCACAAACAATTCGACAGTCACCATAATTCTATCCAATGCTCTTTACTTGAATATGAAAAAGAAATCAGAGCGAACACTTACATCTCATGTCAATAGGTTACCAATATTTATGTATTTTCAATTTCATATTGTTGCATATGTCATTTTATCTATGGCAAAGATTAAATTTCATTATTTCTTTTTATCTAATTCACTTGATATATCAATACCAATGATTCACAGATAATATATTTTACATACTCGAGTTAATTGCCTCATTAACACTACTACAAACAAATTTCTCACTAAGTTTAAAGTAATATCAAACCTTCCTTGGACTTGGTAACTCTTTCCAGACACCAATTTTGCATCATCACTTGATTCAAGCACAACATATCCACGGCCAGAATTACTCTGACCAGACTTTAGTGCTTTCCAGTAAATATCTGTGATTTCCATAAGAATATTATTTGACACACAACCTTTCATATATAACAAGGTTTATTTAATAATTTATATACTAAGCATTTCTACATTGAGCGTATTTCAGCCAATTTTCAAATTTACATATACATTTATTTTTCATAGCAGAGCATTTCATTTTGAGTCAATAGAAAATAATAACTCCTGTTTCAATGTGTACAAGGACAACCAGGCACTCGAAGATTATAGATACGGTTAGTGAGTATGCAGCAAACAGTTTGTTCCCAATAGAAATGTGAAAATGCCAGACACTCTCCATCAGGTTTCAATGACACTCTATGTAGCAAAAGATTACAGTTTTTCAAATAATCATTTATTAAAAAAATATGCGATAACGAAAAATAAGCTCTAGTTCAATTGCCAAGTTGCTTAGTATTAAACATCTTAAATCAAAAGTTTTATAGAGAAATTTCCCAGATACAAAGACTTGTTGCTCCATCAAAACATGACCAGATTACAGAAGAATATCACTGATGAAATATCAAAATTGATTGTTGATTGTATCAGTAGAATTTATTGTGAAAATTTTGTATCATCCAAACATCAAGGATATATGAATAGACTTAATAGAAAGAGATGAAAGTATAATTAACAATAACTCAAATACACTTGTCATCTATACTATAAATTCTTATTTATCATGAAAATATTAGAAAAGGTTGAATCACGTGGTTTGACAGAGTTGCATACGTTAGTACTGCTACAACCTACAATGTGGTCATCGTCAGAAGCACTTAACAATAATACTTCAAAGAGGAATGTAGAAGAAAAAACACTGATAAGCGGCATGTGATGTGTCCATCTGATATAAGATCATAATGACAGATGAATATTAAAAATATAATAACAAGTAAAAGACTTTAATACAGAATATACCAGTAAATATGAAATGATATGATACAGTAGACTTGACGACCCAATTCAGACACTAATTTATCTTTCAATGGTTCATCTTCCATGTTTAGGCCAACAGATGTCATTGAAATTGACATCATGGCATCCTCGACATCCTAACCCTGGTTTGGTTATTTAACTATTTGATTATCTTAACCACAGAACTGAAGACTTATTAGACTTCATATTTTGTGAATGCATGTACCGGTACCACCAACTGAGCAAACATTAATAATGGATGAACTAAACTATGAACTAGTTTAAGAAGCAACATTATAAGAACTAACATAATTAGACTATTCAGTAAATTACAGCAATATACTCGTAAATAGAATAGCCTACCACAACAATACTTAATATGTAATGGTAATTTATAGGTCATCAAAATACTGAAAACATACCATTACTGGAGAATTTAACTTCCTGAATTGCATCCAATAGTTCAGACTTTCTGAGATGAAAACCGAGATTAGAGACCTTGATAACCTGTGGAATATTAACAAATACTTTGACTATTGGCAATATGTGCTAAACTAAATAACACTATGTACTATTGATAACTACTTGTTAATAATGGTATTCCTATAATTAGTGTCTAGATATCATTTTAGCCTAACAATAAATACAAATACGGTAATACATAGAAACGAGAAATTATTTCTAGAAATAGTTTTACATAGACACATTATAAAACTATGCCTACAAGTAACATGACTATGCATATACTTATCGGTAACTAGCCCTCGTACACAAATTCTACTAAATAAATCTACCTTAAAAATGTGATCACTAAATTATTTTCATTAAATGATTGGACAGATATTCCACCACTGACAGTAATACGGTAATAAATGAACAGTATTGTGCACAATCACATTTTTCCTTATTGTGATAATGCTGCAAAACATTTCTTCAGCAGCCTTTAATTTTACTTTTTATAGGTTTGGTTCCATATTTCATAATTACAGCATACAGTGATTGTGGAAAAAACTAAACTGGTACCGGTAATACGTAATACATTTGTAATTTGTAAAATTATACAATAACCCCAAGTCTCGTAACAATGATCATAAAAGAACCTTTTTTTAAACCTGTAGCTCAAAGCTAATCGTTGAAAAGTAAGAACTCGATACCGAGTAGAATTCGAATCGATGACTTCGATGCCCCATCATTCGTCAAAGATAATATGAAATGGACATACAACTGTATATGTAGCGTAGCCTACTACTGGTAAATAAGTATCACCATAAAACCACAGAACGCATTATTTCGACTAAATCACATTGGAGAAAATATATGTTACTGTTTACAAACCCTAGTACACTTAGTAATCTCTTCCCATTCGATTCTAACAATCTCTTGGTAGTTGATATAAGTGTGGGGCGAGTCCTCAATGTTAAGGCACACTTACTGTACAAAGCGCAGAAGCAGAAGAACCAGGAAATATGGAGAATAATATTTTTCCAGGTGCACGGAAGAGAGAATATACGGTAAATGTGTGGGAATAATTTCTCAAAATCAACATAATGCAATACTGCATGAATCAAATTCACTTAAAATAATATTTAGGATAGCCATGCCAATATTTTCGGCAAAAATGACAAATATCATCAATTGTCCAAGATTCAAAAATCAGGATAGGATTTACATATTTATCCAGGGGAGGAAAACCCATAAGATGGCTTAATCATATGGCAATCCGCGGCTTCTCGTCCAGTTACCAGTTCATCTCGGGTATAGGATTAGTTAGCCAGTTTTTTTTTTCTAATTCGTGGATTTCCCCCCAATTGATCTTGGCTGCAATAACATATGTCGAGGACACAAAATTTTGTTCTACCAAATCAGTGCCGTGAAATGGGCACTCGATCGACTATCTTAGACATATTCATGACATTACCGTTATCTACAGAAAATCTATTTGTCTGACTTCTTGCTACCCCAAAACATCACATCTAACATAGTCTGGATGTTAAATCCATGCCAGTGCAATCAATTAATTGCCCCCTGACGCAAGCATCAATAAGTTCGTCATTTTTACAGCTACTTTTTGAGTGAATCTCAGCTTTCATTTAGTTCTGAACAGAACGGTAACTTTGTTAATAAGAATCTCAACAACTAGATCATTCTATGTATAAAATATCCAGTTGTGTAAACTTAATCGCAGTATTTTGTTATCACCATAAGACCATTTCTCATTATGATTACATAATGCAATATTGTATTAAAGCACATTTTTACCTTCTTGAATATCAAATAGACCTTGAACGAAATTTTAAAGGTATATTTTGGAAGTAAACAAGCACTTTGCATTCGCTCTTAAGTCACAAAAAACATTCTGAATCTGAATATAGGCAGTGAAAAAAAAATTTCGAAATGCTTTTTATGTAATTACATCAGCCTTTTTATCAAAGTGGTTCCATGCTCCAAAGTTTGAGTAGATTTACCAAAAATAGAATGTTATAACAGACAGAATCAGATTTAGAAAAATATTTCAGTGAGGATGACATGATTAAAAACACTTTTTCGGGACCCACATCCCATACTTATGAAATACTCCAAACCGAATGTGTAATAATAATTTATGAACATCAATGTCCATCTCTGATGATTTCCTTTTTAGTCCCATCTCCACACCCATACATTTATATCTCAGTTGACAAGATTGTCAAAGTGTACATAAATTGATAAGAAACCCCAAATGTTAATACTGCATAATCGCTGGGATTGATAGTCCATGCAGCAACAGGGGTTGATTTTTCAGTGTTACATAGAAATTCTCACGCTGGCTTTGACATAGTCATAGGTTAATTTCTTATCCGATAATAAAATAACATGCAAAGTTCAAAGGAATAATGTTGAGTACAAATTTCACTGCGGCAGGTGAGGCTGCGAAGAACCAAAGCTGGTTATCAGGCAGCGACACCCAAGGTTCGAGCATCTAATTAAACATTTACAGTTCTAACATTTTGATTATCGGAGTAGGCCTACTGGTATTATTGATGAGATATTGATAACAACTCAAATAATGCCAAAGAATGTGTTTAATCAGACATTCAAATCTTATTATTTTGCCCTGTTATATCAATTAGAACAAACTCACCTAGAGTGATTAATCATAGCATTTGCCTTCTTTGTAATTATCCAGTCAGAAATTAGTTCTTCACGACAACTCTTAGATACTTTAAGTTTTCTGCCTTTCATTTCAAGCCCTGTCATCCTCAGAACATCCATCAAGTCAGATTTACGATCGAGTATGACGTATGCATATCCACGGGAATTACCAATACTTGAGAAATGTAAAGTTATATACAATTTTTACAAAGTTATGTAAAAATAAACTGCCAAAATATCCAACTAAAGTCAACTGTTATTCTGATGGTAAATGCTGAGAGAATTACAAAACAATGATTTCTAATTTAACAGTTTACAGTCATGATGAATATTTTTGATTTTGTTATGAACAAAATATAACCTTACCTGTCTTTGATAATTTTTACACCATTGTACCCTCCTTTAGGCCAAATTCCTAGAATAAGAACTAGCTCCGAGATTGTCACTTTGAATGGTATATTGCTCATCAGCACAACACTCCTAAGATCAAATCGAGTAAAAATTTCAGACTGTGGAAATGGTAGTGGAACTTTTTAACATATCACAAATCTTGCCTTTATCATACAGTTACTACAGCTGGAAATTTCCACGAAAACAGTTGAGTCAAAAAATCGTAACCATTAACCATCTGAAAATCGATTAACCAGTTAACCATTCTCAGCCCTAGCAGTTACAGATTAACAAACGACTTTAATCACTCAGATGCATACATGGTTGGTGGAGAGAGACGGAATCGACCAGTGGCAATTGGGTACCCCCGTAGTGTGTGTACCAGGTTAGGGTTAGGCCATAATTTTATTCAGATTTTCTATATTTCAGTTCTATTATGAGCTTGGGGACTGTTACAAAATTAGTTACCTAAACAAACTTCTGGGGCGCCTACACAATCGAACTAACCAAGATAGGAAGTCCAGTAACCCAGCGAGGTAATTGGTTTGACAGTAAATTGGGTGCTGTAATTTTCCTATGATGCACTTATGACTCCATAGAGCAAAATTATAATCTTGATCTGGGCATTTTTTCTTGCAAGCCATACCACAGGAGTTCATGATAGTGGATCAGTGAATATCAGCAAATGTCGGGCGCACAAAGGTTTAACCAGGTAAATAGTTTCGATTAAATCTTCATATCAGTGTGTGTACAAACAAAGAATATTCTATCCCATTCCAACATCTCATAGTTTTGAAATGCAGAAATTAAAAAGTTCTTACTCTATATCTTCATCATTATCTTGAGAAGCCTTGGTTGTAACTTGTTTGCCAGTTTTAATCAATTCTGGAGGTTTAGCTATTGTATAAGATGCTGCGAAACTAGAATTTTGCACAATTCCAACTTTTGTTTCTTTTCCTTCCCAATCCATGTTAGGCATGTTTGTAGTAGTAGGATAAGATGGGAGACCTAGAATATGCAGGTTATATATCATGAAAAGCATATTAACAGAAAAGTAGCAAACTCTCCCAGCCAACTTAATGGACAATACCCGACTGTCAATTAAAACAAAAAATGAAATAAATTTGTCCTACTCCTGAAATGATTTTTGCTACCTTATTCCTACCTTTCTGATATGAACTATTAAAATATGTCAACGCAAGAAGTATGTAATATTTCGTATCAATTGCTTTTCAGTGTTAAACTTTTAGTACATGACTATAGATTTATATTTCAATACTAGCCTACATCAAGAGCAGAAAAATTGAAAAAAAAATGAAAATTCCTGACTATATGATACTGAAAATACGCAGACTTAATATTCAATGAGAGACCACTAGAGTGATTATGAGTAACTATTTTATTGAGACTTGGAATTTCTATGTCCTTGAGAATTTTTATCAGTGTTTATTTAATAGTGATGTGAATATTGAATATAAAAATTACCTTGCGGTAACAAAGCTAATTTCTCTTTTTCTTTTTCCATTTCAAGTATGAAGGCACTAGGTTTTGGTTCATTGTCATCTATTAGTTTTGAATCCTCAACATTTGACATATTTTTTTTACTAGTTGGCTTGATTTCTTTTATCTTTCGAAGTGCCTCTGCTATGCTTCCACCAACAAAAGTGGTTTTTCAATAAAAACTTCTTCTTTTTCTTCAAAATAATGTAATAAAGTCAAGAAACAGTGGTATATGTAACATAGGCTCAGGGATTAGTCACTTACCATCTTTATCTACATCTCCTTTTTCCGATGAAACGGGGCTGTCAAAATAGGATGTATTCAATATAAATTGGCATTATAAAAAGTCTATACACAATAAATTTTAGTTAACTTTACCATTCTTCTGGTTTTCTCTTTTTTAAAATACTTTTTAAAGGCTTTGATACTGAAGATAACGACGCAACTAGGTCATCATCTGTACCTAAAACAGATATTTACATAGTCAGAAAATTAACGTTGCGGTAGGCCTATATCAGTATATGCTGATATGTAATACTAGAATATATCGTTAGCACAGATATGAACCAGAAAAATAACATTAGAATAATAATGCCAACTGACAAAACAAGTAATTTCATAACAATATAAGTTCGCATTAAAGATTATATACCGTCTGACTGCAGCTCGATTTAGTCTAGATTTTAATATTGCTGCGTTGATCTGAAGGATACTGGAATAAATTGTCATTTTTAGTCCGAGTGAGAGGAAAGTTGTATGACGGCTTAATCACAGTCATATGGCGTTCCATAACCTCTCGTCTGGTTAAGGCTCACCATCTGCCATCTGTTAAAATACTTTATCAGCTTCCTTTGACAGAGGATGGCCTATACTAATATCTGAATATAGACTAGGCCTAGTTAAAATTCATAAAATGTATTTCTGTAATTGCCGGTCCTTGCCTGGTGCTGGTAGGTTTTTGTTGAGTCTCTGTTTCGGAAGTTGTGACTGGCTCTTGCTCTTTAACGTCTTCATCTTCTTTAATATTATCTGAAGCATTAGAAATATCATTCTCTTCTATGATTTCTTCTTTTTGTTCAATTTCCTCCATCTTTCTCAGTCCAGCTAAAGCATTCATTTTAGCATCACTCCTATTACCGGTGGCGGTACAGTATTAAAACAAAATCACAGCTGCAATACACGGAGTCACTGCACTACGGCGCTGCATAAACACAATGTAAAAAAATCAATAGACGTTTCCCGACCCTTCACCCCAGGAAAATTCTTCCCGTTTTTGCGAGTTCGCGCCACTGAACCGGATATGTATGTTAGTAGGTGCTTACAACGACCGGTATGTTAGTCGTTGCAACGACTGATTATGGTGATTTACAACATTCAACTAACTGCCGATTTTTGGCCTACTTTATCGCGACTTAATGGGAACTCAATTTCAATAAACTAAAGCTCCTTGGAAGTTCAGTAAGAATATGACCAGTGAGAAGTGCAGGATTTAGCATTAGGCAATGTAGCAGGCGCAAGCCAGCTCAAAATTGGGAAGGTGGGCCAATTTTTTTTGTATGATGACGTAATAAGACGCTAATTCCGTGCCCTTTGCTCCGAACAAGGCTAGATAAAAGCAGCCACTGATATCTAACAAAAACTTGAAGAATCTCTCTACAGACTTATTTTGCTGTCGAAATTACTAAAGCAATTTCATTCATCTCGGTTGGTTCATTAGGAGAAAAGATTATTGATAGTAGGCCTGCTGGTATCATTGGGCCACCTTCGATTGTCGTGTAGTAGAAGCTGAATTAATGTGGTGATAATAATTTACGGGGGTGGGGCTATACTACACGACAATCGAAGGCGGCCCAATGATACCAGCAGGCCTAAGCCAGGAAACATCGGGTTATCATTAAATCGTTCAAGAATAAAGCAAAAGTCCGTAAGAATGTATGTCCTCCAACAACAATCCATATTACCACAGCGTTAGAGGCTATCATGTGCCTGATGTACTAGCTATAGTTACTAAGTGCAAAAGTTCTAGATTGCAAACAATGTGTAACGTTATATGGCAATATATATATATGTATATGTATGAATTGCTTTGCTGCTAGGTTGAGTTGCTACGACGCCGCAAACTTCATTATATATATATTTTTCGCTAGAAGCTTTACGTTTATTTATTTATAAAATATCTGTGGGTTCTGAGGGATCCGATTTTTTGTGCGATTTTGTCTCTTGTGACAGATTGGATACACATACTACTTAGTTTTAGCCTTCTTGTCTGTCCAGATATTTGAACATCGCTCTCTTGTTTGATTTCATATATTATTGCTTAGGTGGGTATGTTTTCTCGGTAATATGTCGTCGTGGAATCGAGAATCGGAATCGAAAATTTAGGAATCGGATAAGAATCGAATACTTGTAAGTAATCATACTTAGCATCCTTAGTGAAGACTGAAGAGGCTTGGTTGTAACTAATCATTTCCCAATAATTTTTGACAAAGTACATAGATTTGGTTGTTATTGTGGTTGCAATAAAGCTTCTATTGGTGGAAATGTGACTTCTTAGGCAGTCATCAACTCAGGTATTTAAATTAATAATATCGTGTGATAACATTTATTTCTAGGCAAATTAGGAGTTATGGAAAAAACATCCCTGAATAAAAGCTGTTGTCCCCCTTAAGGGTCGAAATGTGCCCCCGGGGGTAGCCTACATGTACCGCAGTTGGGAAACCCTGATCTATCAAAACAATAAAACCAGATAATGTTTGCAACCATGGAGTAAAAGTGTCAGAGTGATTGCGAAAATTTTAATCGTTACGTCACCATTAACATCTTGTTACTCAAATATATGATCACGAAGGGACTTTTCATCATCACACAAATATTATTTGACTGCCGAAAATTTCAAGTAGTTGACTGAGCAATTTGTCTATTCTAGTTGAAGAAAAAGGAGATATTTTCACAACAACAAAAAATACAGAAAAATAATAACAGCATATTGAAAAAACGTTCCATAGTGTCCAACAAGAAAATTGATGTTCTGGAAAACATCTTCTGATCAGATACAGTATATTGGGAAAGTTGTAATCTAATCAGTATTGCGACAGACTCGCAATTCTAAAACGAAAAAGCAATGCTCAACTATATGGACACTATGAAGTGGTACGGGTATGCAATCTTAGGCAGTCGACAACCCGTATGACCGCCTTCGCTATACCACCAAAAAGCACCGAACGCGGGCCCGCCACAAGATGCACAATCTCGATTACGTCATCGACACAAAAAAAGGAATCTTATAGAGCCCACAGGAATTTTTGTAATAAATAAAAGTAATAGCCTTTTAGGGACGAATACAATCATTAACCACTGAAAATTTCAGTTTCAAGAACAACTATTCAACAAATCATGCAATTATTAAATTGGTTGAATACATCTATGAAAAACTGGGAGACGGAGATCATATATGTTGATTTCTTCAGATCTGAAAAAAAGTTTCGACACTGTTAGCATAAGCTCCATCATTATGGTATCCGCGGATGAGCAAACAACATATTTAAAGACTAAGCTACCTCACAGAGACAAATCAATTTTGCATAGAATTAAAGTGCTTCAGAACAAGGCCGTTAAAATCCCTTTCCGGCTCTTTCAAACCTAAACATGATAAGCACCATTCTAAAGCTTGAAGATATTTACAAATTAGAGGTCTGTAATCTCATGCACATATATCACAATCGTTATCTACCTATTGATGGCTATTTTACTAGACAGAGTATAACATCCATGCCTACAACATAAGATCAACAGCAGCACACTTTTTCATGTATTTACCTCATTTGTCACATTCCAAAATTGTCTTCGATACAAGAGGAGGGGTGGGGTGGGATACATGGGTGAGTTATAAATCATGTCAGATCAGCTCTTCAAAGCAAGGCTGAAAAACATTTGTCACAATTTATACTGTAGTGCAAGATGGAATATTTTTGATGAAACAACATTGCCCCCATCACTTTCGTTAAAGTTCATATTATAAATATGCGAGTCGTATCCTACTTACTTATAACTGGCAAAACTTCTGATAAGGTTTAAAACACGTAGAAATACATGTGCCCGTTTACCCATATTACACACATAAACAAATATTAAAAAAAGAAACACGCGGCAGACACGATGGTTTCCAATTTAAAACCGTTTATATATAGTGGATAGCATTGGGCTGTGTTTATTGGGATTTGTTTACACCAGCCGCATTCAAAACGAACCAATAATTTGATTGAGGTAAACAAAGATTGAGGTAGTGCGTTACCTTAAGAAAACAGTGTCAGAAGAGGTAATAAATAAATTCTAAATGTCTTGTCCTGCAATTCTTTGGTTTGAATAAAATCCGTCAAGATTACGCGAAAAGTATATGCTTTGAATTGCAACCAATATGAGATAAAGATGGCATAAATTTGGAATACCCTACATTTGCTCTGTGACAGAAATACTTATACTAAATGTGTCGCAAAAACATCCTAGATAATGTCATTTTACCAGAACAAGCAGTGGAGCAGTCTTACTATATTCCTGTCAATATCAAATGATGACTTTGGAATAAAAGTATTTTCAGACTTACAATTTCACATTACCTGATGTGATGTCAAGTAGGTTTGGATTATCCCGATAACCGAGAAGTATTTTTCTATTATCTGTTATCCAGATATTATTGTGACGGTTAACCGGATAATAAAATTAGCCCAAATAATACATTTTGATATTTTTGTTATTAACTGGCGCCTGACATCTCCAAGAG